GTTTTCGAGTTATATTTCATTTGCATTTTGATTAACATTAAAACAGATTATATTTACCTTAGTACCTGCTTACATTTGTTTAAGTAAAATTCAATTCAGATTACACAGACTATATTTTTTTAAATTCATACATTTAGTAAATGACCACCCCCCAGACAATGAAAATCAAACATTTTCTAGTACATTACCTCCAAATAGATTTTATATTTTTACCAAAATAGTAAAAAAGATATTACAAATTATTAAAAAACTAGGGGGGAAATGTCATGTTTTATTCATATTACACTTTCAAGCAAATCATTTGAATCTGAAAGTCAAGAAATCTTTGAAAAATGTAATATTTACATTAGTTGTGTTTTTCTACTAAGCCAACTGTGAAATTGATTTGAAAGCCATTTTTGTGTATACTCATGCGTAGAAATATACATGGAGAACCTCGCGCTAAAGTGACGTCACAATGAGGCTACAGAGACGTTAATAAAATATGACGTGATAGGGCAGCGAGAAATTCAAACATTGAGTATATTTTTGGCACAATTAAACATGTAAAATGTAAATATAAGGAATGTTTTTAAGTTTAGTGTGAATTATTGGTGTGTAAATCACACAGACTTGCACGTAGGCATATTTTTCATGAAGCCCTAGCGCGCTTCATGAAATATGCCTACGTGACAAGTCTGTGTGATTTACACACCAATAACTCACACAAAACCTAAAAACATTCCTTAATTGTTACCCAGTATGACTCCCTTCACAGATGATAATGTGACAAGGGGTAGGGTAAAATGATCACAAGTTCCACGCCTATTTATATTCACAGACAACGTTGAATACATAGTGCTTTATGCATAGCATGAATCTAGAGATGTATTGAAATGTCTACCAGAAGCATCATTTTAGCATTTTGTTAAACTCTGGCAACTGAATGAAGCAGTTGTTTATTAAAGACAAAGCCTGAGATGCTAAATAGATAGCAAGTCGAACACATTTGACCACAAGTCAAACAGCTATATATGAAGTTGAATGCCATTTACTCTGAATCGTGCGGATTACATAGTTGTGGATAGAAACTGCTTTTTATGACGTTAACCAACACGTAACTGCATAGGTTTTTAAAATCTATCTTGTCTTTCTTTTTTCATCAATTTTATAGATTTTGATTCATAAACCAACTTAGAGACAATTTGCATTGTCTAAGTACTAACATATTTTTTTAAATCTTATTTTCATTTCAGGGAAGACTGTTGTTGGTACATGTAATATTCAAAAATTGGAGATAATTCAAACTGAAAAAAAGAAACAAAATTGTAGAATTTTTTCATCATAATTTTTTCAATAGTAATTAAAGTTCATACAACATCAAAGTTCTGCAGTAAAACTCACTTATAAAAAAGTCTCTGGGAATTTGAATTTAACTTCCTTATGACTAGATTCTTCACATCTGTATAAGGAACATAGTGAAACATCTGCCTATGATATTCGTCACCAGCATGGTGCAGTGGTAGAGCTTCTGCTTTAGAGTTGCAGAGTAAGGAGTTGATCCTTACGTCGCGGGTTCGAATCCCACTGTGGGACGTAGAGATCAGTCCTTCGTCAGAGACCGTATAAACCAAGGTCCCGTGTCACAGTAGATGCTGGCACGAAAAAGATCCCCCAATGCTCAATGGCCCTGAGTGCCAAGTATAGGCCAAAATTTTCAGCTCTCCACCAACAAGTGGTGGCATTTCCATATGAGTGAAAAATTCTAGAGAGGGACATTAAACAACAAACAAAACCTAGGGTATTCATAAAAAATTCCTAATAATCAAGATTTCCTTATAACTGAGTTCCTTATAACTGAGGTTTACTGTATTGCTTGTCATTTAAACAGTCTTTTTTATCTGCAGTTTTTTTCTTTTTTTTCTCTTCCTCTGCTTTTATTTTTCTTATTTTCTCTCTGTATTCTTTTTTCTACATGTTGGGTCTCTTTTTCTATTCTTCTTAATATTTACATTGAAAGCCCAATCTGAAGTTATGACAAAAAAATGTTCTGCTTGTTTTCTTTTTGTAGAAGCCTTTTCTATGGTTACCTTTGGCACATGCTAAAAATATGTTTCAGAAAAATGTAAGTGGTCAAGACTCCATTTCTTCTACAATTTCCAGTAATAGGAATACATTTATTAGTTGGATTTTATTGTTCAAAACAAATAATCACTCAAGGAACTACTGTTGCCTAAATTATGCTGCACATTATGTACAGACACTTGAATGGCTACTACCGTTATTCTTATTTTGTAGCATAAAAAATATTGTTTGTAAATACTAGTACAGTCAAACCTCATTATCTCGAACTCAATGGGACCGATAAAAAACTTCCGAGATATCCGAGGATTTGAGATATCCTGGGTAAAATACTTAAAGGATAAGGGGTTGGGACTTCCAAATCACTTCAATATATCCATAGTATTTGAGATACATGTATCAGTGTTTGAAATGCCGAAGTTCAACTGTATACTAGTATGTATTTTAAATATAAACAATCTCACCATGTAATGAAAGCAATTGGACATAATCATTAAACATTCAATAATCATAAAACAATCTACGATATATTGCATACAAGTTTAATTTGAAATATATATTTTTTCAGAAAATTTTAAAATCATATGGAAGACCATCCACATGAGTTTTAGCAATTTCTAAGTTTTCTTTTTTCACATTTAAATCAAATGTTAATTCTCTGTAGCGGTCTCAATTTTCCTGTGATCTTTCCAACAAACCCTTGATTTTTTTTAAGGTAGCATTGTCCATTCACATTTTTCTGGAACAGGTGGGTACATAGCATAGTTTTGAGTGGGATTCTAGAAACATTAATACGAAAGGACCATGCAGCAACAAAAAGGGGGGCAGCCTTTTCAATGAAGATTTTCATACTATATTAACAGTAAAAGATTATGATCCGAAAAATACATGCTTGCGTGGCATCAGATCTTCTTAAATGTGAGACCTTGCATATCCTTTTACTTTAGTGGAAAATGGCCACTGCATTAGGAACCCACATGTTATTGGAGAGCAAAACATTGGGTTTCTCTTGGCAGTTCTTTTTCCCCTTGCTGATGCATTCCAATAGCATATAGACTCTTTTTTTTTAAATTGGTCTTCATCTTATTAAAAACTTGTACAATATGGGAGTTGATTGTGCTCAAATTTTAAAAGTTTATTTTACACTAGTTTAATATGTTTATTTGATATGCTTAGATCTAGTATAGATTTTAGAAAAAAAAAAAAATTCAGTGAAACTTGATTTTAAATGTCAGTGCCAAATTAATTTCATAATAAAATATGTTCAAATCAAAAAAATCAAATTAATTTCATGTAATTCTAAATTTGACATTTACTATTTTTTTTGAAGTTAAATAATGTAAATTACATTAATTGTCACCTGAATCATGAAATAATTAAAATATCGCTGATTAACAGCTATTTTTTAGACGTATAAATAAATCCACAATTTAACATTTTTTCCCCACATTTAAAGCTTTTATTTTCTCTTTTACTTGCAGCATTCTTGTCGTTGTTTCTGGAGTCAAACACTGCAGTTCAATTTGCGTTCATTTTAGATGTTCTACTCCATATCATTTTTCAAAATTAATTCAATGACCTTTTGTTTACTTTTAAGGTAATTATGTATCCAAAACCATATAATTTAAACAGCTTCAACGAGCTTGACTTCGAAAAGGCTCAAATTAAAGAGTAAAAAAGAATTCAAATAACCAATAGATGCTACCATTTATCGTTTATCTACAGGTGTACGAGACGTTGGAAATGTGTTAGACCTGTGGTTATGTTCGACTTGCGATCAGTTTACCCTTACATAACTTGACTACAAGTTACATTGTAAAACTTGTAAATTGCAAAAATTTTATGTGTGAGCATCCATCATACTTTTTAAAATGGCATTATTTGAGTGTTTTAAAAAAAATTCAGTTCATGTAGTTTACTCTGTGTAAATATGTATATTTTAAAGTACCGGTACATGCAATTAAGGGTAACTTGAAATTTGTAACCCAGTGAAAACCCTTAGCACCCTCAGCTAATGCATTGTGTGCCAATGGTGTTTTTTCAACTGTTACCCTCAGTTACATGCAATATATTACTAGTAATGTCAATTTAGACAAGTAGTTCTGTTAATATTCTGTTACCGCAGGTCATTTCAATCTTACTGATATAAATAACTTTTTAATTAGTTACACATATTATCTTCAAGTTAGAACAAAGTCAGGATACAAAAGTCTTTATAAGCTGCTTTTGCTTTTGGTCTTGTTTTACGGTTTGGTGAAAAATGAGCTTAATATTAAAATAGGTTAAGCTGGCAAGGGGATTTATTCATATCTGCTCTGTACAAAAGAATATTGTAGCTTTTCTAAACCTTCTAAACCCGATCATGTCACTACCAATGACAAATGATTCCATTTGGCCAAGTCCTATGTTTAATGATACCACTATCTAGATCTCTTTCTGATACTTGGTAGTCAAATGATAAAACACAAGCCTAGCTCATAAATAACAATATATAGAGACAACTATAACAAGCCTCAAGATTCCAACCATTGCATGTAATGTTCACTACTTTGTGTTCATGCCAAGAGGATATCCATGACAGAACAAACCAACTTGATGGTATCAATTTCAGCATTTAATGTGTGCAATGTTTTTAACTTTATTACCTTGAGGACTGGGTATAGTAGTAATATATCAATACAAACTGAAAGATATACCTTTTTCTCAATCATGTAACAGTTTTCCTCTAAATAAAGTATTCATTAAACGTCCTACATGGTTTTTATCTACACAGATTATCTGTATGTACTCTCCCCATTAAGTTGTTTTTAAAATCAGAGAAAACACTGAAAATATTTTTCTTACGACAATTTCATGTCCTCTATTTTCAGTCATTTCTAAGTGAAATCAGATTTGGAAAACCCCAGACCTGTAAACATTTTGTGTTATTTCACACCTACCCTGGTGTAACTGGCAGAAGGCGGTGCTGTCTCGGTGTTGGGGTGACACTCAGGGATCGCTCAGGCACAGTGTATCCGATACGTGACGGCACATTTGGCCGAGGATTAGAGCCTCTTATTTCCAAATGTAACATAATTCACATGTCGGCAGATAACAATAAGTTTCAATACTTTCCCTTCCACGTCAAAAGATTTCAAACAGGTCTAAAATATTGTCCCTTTTTTAGACTTCTTATTCTAAAAGATGTAAAACTCACTGCTGAAAACAACTATATTATGCCCAATAATTGGGACAAACTTAGTCAACAAGTACATGAAAACAAACAAACATACACCTTACAGAATGAACAGATTTACATGGTCTCTTGAAAGGACCTATAAATCTTCAGGCCTGAGAAACTTCAATCCCAACACAATTTTTTTTTGACGTTAAATTTCAACTGTGTCAACAATTCCGAGCAAACATTAAAGTCGCTTTTTCCAATATCACATTATGTTCTCATAAATACACATTTGCACTACTGTTAGATAAACAGACCACATGAATACACTTGTTAAATAATTTCCTTTCATTTAATGAAAGATACAGGCACAGTTAATGTTCCAACAGTAGTCCATATTAAGTTCCCTCGTCCGTGTTCTATATCGGCAATAGCGTTCCGTTACCCTGGCCTCTCCATTCCTTACACACCATTTGACATTCACTTAATTCCCTCTTAAAACATTACAGAGGTTCTGTAGAGAACAGCTATCCGATATTAAAAGCCCCTTCTATAGCGATTTCCACCAAACTGGCACAAGGTGAACATTTAAATAGATCTTTTTATATATATTGCCTTGTGGCATTTAAGACAATACAAAGTTTTAGTCAAGGCATGTGGGTATATTCATCAAAGACTAAAAACTGTCTTGCAAGAAAATCCAAACACAATCACGTGACATTTAATTTGATCGGCATAAGGTTCCAACAAAGTGTTCCACCCAAAGGAAGGAAAATCTAAATGACAAGATCTGCAAGACTAAATGCTGTAAGACGGCCTAAAGCTCGATCAATACACAGCTGATATAGTGTCTAGCATGTATCCAGTGTACCTATATAATTTATAAGATTTGTTTGAAAGATGACCATACAATATGAACATTTGGCAGGCAAAAGAGACATTCAAAGTATTTCTCACACAACACAGGTTTGCTTTGATAGAACATTGTCAATATTAATGATCATAAAACTTTTTTTGGTCAACATATCAGAATTAATTCTATAAATATTTTGCAACACATAAAACTTCTGTGTTGAGCTCTTGTCGAAGTTGTAAATTCATCATAAGACCCACAATAATCAATTTTTTTTAAACATGCATCTAAGGGGCTTTGTTAAGAGAGTTTAAGTGCATTATGTCTTTGATGTTTAGTTCCATCTTTCAATTGGGAAAAACTAATATTGTCTCAAAAGTTCATCATTTTTATAATTGCTTTTGAATTTCCTTGATAAACAGGCATCAATAGATACAGCCCATATTTTAACTTGCTTTCAGAAGAAAGAGAATGTCATTAACTTTTACATACAGAAATATTCCCCATGCCTTTCTTTGTATTGTTTGAAAAAGAAATTATAGACCATGGAAGAGGCATGTTCATTTGTGAACTCGATAAATTTCTTCAGCACGCACGAACAGACAATGTCCCCTGCATCTCTTGCAAGAAATAATAACTAAATGACAGCAATTAACTGTCAAAAGATAAATAAGAACAATTTGAGTTTCTTTTCCATACAAGTAAATAATGGTATACAATATATACAAAGACCTGTACCAAGAACTATACTGTTTGTGTAACCACCATAAAAACTCAGTTCGTCATTCAAAATCAAGGACCACATTTAAAAAATCAAAACTGTGCAATATTAATATATTTCTGGACGATTTATGGCAAATTCATGATTGAATAATCATCAAAGAAATCAAGCGAATTTCCAACTGCTTTTTTGAAATGGCTCATCTCCAATCAATAACAAATGAATGATTTTATAAAAAGCCTAGATTTATTTGCAAATATATTCCACTTCAAAGCATTTCATTTCTGGATCTAGGTACTTTATCTTTAATGTGATGAAAGAACTCGTCACTGACTTATGCTGAGCCAGAAAGCTAACTTTTTGCACAACCAACCTAAGGTTTACAATGTTGTCATCCTATTAAGATTCACTACACAGTAATCACAAACAGGATCCTGTAGACAATCAAATGCACTTCTGATGTAAAAACTCGAGGGTTGCTTATAATGCTTCCAAATCATGAAAAGATAAGAGCAGGGATTGAAAATAAAGCTAACTTAGCTGTAAAGGTGAGATAATCAAATCTATCGGTGACAAGTGCTGCAGCAATGTTCCCATTATACACCACCTACTGTCAGGAGCAACTCAGGCTGAGAGCAAGAACGTGTACAAATTCTACTTTATATAAGTCATTCCTAATATGACTTTCACCATTTGATCTACTGAATTTATGAAATGGCATTTCTCCTTAAAAAATGTGGTTATTTGTTTTGTCATAAATATAATTAAACCATATCAGGTCAAGTCCATGTTTTAATAACAAGGTTTAATGTCCCGTTCATGCCTTAAAAAACAAGCTGTGTTTGATAAACCCAAATGCTCTGAGAGTGACCATTTCTAATGACCCAGTGACCTTGAACTTGCCCAAATGACCTTGGATCAAGGTCCTTAAACAGCCTCAATTAATAAAATATCTTTGTGCCAAAAATGAGCTTCCAATGTGCTTCTCCATTGAAAGATACGACCAGAACAGAAATGATAATTTTTTCTAAAGTGACCTTGAACTTGCCAAAATGACTTCAGTTTAACATACAACGTACCCACTAGTCATAATTAATCTTTGTGTGAATTATCAACTTCCAATATTTTTCTATAAGAGAGTAGTGGAATGAAAGATTTATAAATCTTTCTGAAAGTACTGGTAAGGGTAACCTTGAACTTGAACAAATGACATTGGGTCAAGATCAAGACATACCCTCTAGTCATAAGTAATCTTTGTGTGAAGTATGAACTTCTGAAAAATAAAGGATCTAAAATAAATTTTACACTTTTTTGCAAGTAAACTTGAACTGGCCCAAATGATCTTGGTGTCATAAGCAATCCTTATGTCAAGAATAAACTTTCAATGTTTAATATAATAAGCTTTCATATAAGTTTGCTAAATATAAAGTCATATTTACATCCACTTTAATTCTTAAGAAAACCATTGTTGTTTATCAGTCAATAAACACCGCTCAACATATCTCCTCTACAGATTTCTTGAGCAGTGGCTGTTCCATCAATGAAACGTATAATGACGTACATATCAGTAATACACTATTTAATCTACTTAATCCTACTTTAAATGATTTTTTGTAGAGATAAAAATATAAACAATAACATGTCTTTCTTTCTTTGTTATTACGGGGATTAACATTGCAGCTATTGCAGCAGAAAAATTAACATAACCCGCTTACGTGGGTTATGTATTTTTTCTGCAACAGCTGCAACATTAATTCCCATACTAACAACCAAAGAAAGCATTTTATTTTTTAATTTAACTTTATTTTCACTTAATTATGTGAGACTGTCTGCTCGCAAAACTTCCATTATTGCAAATATTTACTTGCATCAATAACCAAAATATGAAAATTTTGTCTCACTTATTCACCAAATGGGCCAAATACCAATTTCATGAAAATAAAGTGTCGTTAAAATTTGGTGATCTACAGTACTTTGTTTTTATTTTTTAAGGGTTTAAATCTACATTCACGTAAGGATGTTTAAATGAGCGGAAACTTATATAAGTAATATTTCCAGCCACTTACAGAAAAATCCAAATAAAATCAAATCATGGTTTCCCTAAAATTTGGTCACTTTCTGTTTCATACAGTGCCAGCTAAGGGGATGTCAAATTAACACTACATATATTTTAATTTTATAAAACATATACTTTTAAAACTTTCATTGCTTTACCTTTGAAGTTGTTGCCTTGTATCTCATAGAGTTATTTTAAAAGCTAAATTTTTTTTTGCTTTATGACTGAGAAATATCAAATTTCAAGATCCACTAAAGGAAAAACTCCAAAAGTTTGGGCCAATGCAAAGAAAATTAGTTTTCTCTACAGAATTCCATGTAATTATAATGTAGCCAGCACTTTCAGCTTTTATAATAGACCCCACTAACATGATACTTTCTATTTACATAACAATAATTTTGATGACTTCAGTGATAAGACATCACAAGTTTTGAATTAAAATTAAGTGTTGAAATTATGTTTTTGTCAATTTCTTTATTATCATCAGAATATCTGTTTTAGGTAATTTAGACCACACAGAACTGTTTTTATTCAAAACTAAATAACAATGCTGATATTGGATTTTTCTTTGTGTTTGGGGATGAATCCAAAACATTTACAGCAATTTTAAAATCCACAGTACATTGCCTCCAAGTTTTGTAAAACGCGGCCAGGTTGTACGAGGCTGTTTTTATATTTACCACTAGTTTAGTTGTAAAGGATTGATAGTATCAAATCCCTGATTGCCATTAATGATAACGAAAAAACAATCCTGTCTAAACAAGGTAACCAAAATCTGGGTCTACAGCTAGGGCAGACCGAATCTTCTCAAGTAATACATACTTTACCAGTCTAAGAACTAAAACAACATTAGAACAACAATATTTTGGACAAATTAAGTAAAACAGCAACATTTGAAAAAGGCAATGATTTCCACCTTATTTACATGCTAAATCTACATCTTAAACATATCTATATAAACAATATGTTTCATTTGATCTCCAATATAATATTCTGCTACAAAGTGTTTTTTGAAAGAGCTATAAATGTTTTTGAACCTAAATTTGAACACTTTATAATTTCAAATTCAAAGAGACACTTTAAATATTGGTATTGCGATAAAAATCAGCATTTTAAAAACAAGCCTTTGATACATTGAGTGAGATAACATAAACATGATGGACGGTCTTTTGAAGATTTGTGTGTATTATGAGTTATCAAGTGCATTTTGATGGTAACGCTAGATTTTCTCATTAACCTTGCCAATTCAAATGAGATATGAAGGTCAGCAGTTCGGATTGGCTTAGAATACTCTGAGCAGATGCACATCACTGCTTCTTTTCTGTGGACAATGTTTGTGCACCAAATGCCAAACAATGGCCCTGGGCAACTAAATAGCTCTTTGAATACATGTTCAATACTGCACATTCCAACTGCACCAAGACATTTGACTGTAAATTTTAATTATTTTAGAAAAGCCCTTTATTAATGTTTACTTGTTCTCAGTTTTCTAGAGTTAAGCTTCCAAAGAAGATCAATCTCACGAAACATGGTTAAATTTGTTTCTTCTTCATTAGCATAAAAAGAGGATTTCTTTATCAAAAAGTAGAGGATAAAAATAATAAATTTCTCATTTCTTTTGGCTGTCTTTGAGTAAGGTAACATTGTATAGCTAGTGTAAAATAAAGGAGACCAATGTATTATAGAAATGAAACCCCAAGCACATAATAGAAAACTAGCTATTGGGAACAGGATCTCATGGACAACAGCACCTTTGTTTAAAACTTGAACATTTTGTATATATTACCTAAATTACTGAAGAGACCTCGATTCATTTAAATAGATTCATTATGAGAATGGTACATATTTACATTTGGCTTGTCTCTTGCTCTTTTAAATATTTCAACAGCAGACAAGAAAATTGCAACTGATTCATCTTTTAAATCTCTTTTGAAATGTTGAGTGGTAATTAATATAAAAATAGGAATACTCTTTTCCTAATTTAGGTTAAAAACACAGAAAGGTTAGTAGTCATGTAACACAGTCAGCACTAAGTTTATATACCCCTCAGTAAAGTGTACAACTAGGCTTAAACTAAAAATTTGTTTGTTTGCAGTTGTCTACCGACACACTGAAAATGCACCCAACCCAAACTTTTTTTTCAGCAATTTTGTATTATTATTTTTTTAAGTTTCAAGCTTT